AATCTAGCGTACTTATCTAGCTTCAACGGCTTTATCAAACCGTCGGCTAGCATCTCGTTACCCGGCAAATACTCAATTATAAATACCTTCCTATCCACCTCTTGAATTAACTATTTATATTATATATCGATATATCTATTTCTAGCGGGTAGATTAGGGTTGAAAATCCGGTCTTTAGCGTTGCTACTATCTATATAGAGAATCCTATTGATCTTATAAAATCCCAGATTCACATTCAAATTATCAAATATACTACTAACCTAATCGAGAGCTTTAGCCATTGGAATTAGATTAGTAAATTCTACTTTTATTATACTAGTTGTAACGAAATCCTATTATTTAGATTTCTACAGGACAGGGCTATAAGTAAAAAATATAATATAGCCTATAATACTCTTCTTTAATAGAATATTGTTAGTAAAGGATACGTTTATATACGTATAGAAGGATAGGGCTATTAATAGTAAGAGTATACCGCCCAATTTAATACTTAAATTAAGGTACTCGGATAAATATCGCCATAAATACTTCATAATAACAAAATAACAGTCGGTAAATTTCTTAATACCTTCTAAAAGTTTATTAACGGTAAATGCAATATCTAGTCGGGTACTTATTAATACCTAGTTTAATAAATTAGTCTTTTTAAGGTAAGACTTAACTTCGTTTAGGGATACATTAATACCCCTATAAATTTTATAATCCGGTAGCTATAGTATTTTAATATTGTATAGTTTAATTTTACTATTATTGAACTTAGCAATAATTAACTTAGTATATTATTATTAAAATATAAAGATTATACGAATTTGGCGGTCCCTTACAATGTTGTATGCTAGAAATATATATATTTGCCCTAACTCTTTAAATTTAAAATAATTAGCCAATTAGTTTTTAATTTAATTAATAATAGTGATAATTGGTACTATAACGAGAAGGTCGTTAATGTACAATACTAGTAATACTCCTAATACCCTATTAATAAGCAAGTAAAAGTCTGTAGAGATTAGTATAAAGTTAGTTTGCTTTAATATTGGTACGAGAATATTAAATTAGTAAAGTGGGGAATTGTCACCGGATATGTACGATTAGCTAATAGAGTAGGGTGCTGGGCATGCCCAGTACCACGGCTAGGGTACAACCAGTACCATGGTCGAAGTGTAGGCTAGTCGGCTGCTATTGGCAGACGGCTGCCCGGAAGTGGGGCGCCCGCCCTGTAAGCTAGGGTGGGCCCTGCTCGGACCAGGGACTTTATATAAAAGGACCCTTATCTAGGCCGGCCAACGGCCGTCTACTTTCTTTCTATATCTCGCTTTCTTACTTTAATATTATTAATTATATTAAGGATATTTGGAGTTTCTGAGCAAACCTAGTGAACCGTAATATCTGGTAGTTGCAATTGAAAGATCTAGTTGATTAAATTATTTTTAATTAATCGATCCCTTTATTAGAAAGTTGCTTGATTGTTCCAATGTACTTTGTATTTTTAATCCGATTGTTAAATTTTATAACTCTCTTCGGCGAATATCGATTCTGCGATTAACCCTCCCCTTACCGGCTATCGCCGCTTCGGTTGCTTTAGTTATTTACCTCCTCTCCTTTATATTCTTATTTAATTGTGTTTCGGCCTTTTAATAAAATCCTTATGTACAATTAATATTATTATTAATTAATTATACTACTTTAATCTAAATTATCGTACTAATAGATTTCGGTACGTACGGCGTAATCCTTTAACGCAATAGGTATCCCTCGCTCTAATAATTTTACTTTAATACTCTTACTTAGTAATTTTCCCCCCTATTCTATATTTATACGGCTTTATAATTATAGTATTAATACTACGCTAATAACCTACTACTATTACTATAGCAAACCCTATACCTGGCTTATTTGATAATGAGGATCCGCCCGGAGATTTAGCGCTATTTCCTCCCGATTTCCTTAAAATAATTTATTGTAAAATATTTAAAAACCTGATGAAATGGATTAATTTCCGATTTAACTGCGATTCTCGTACGATAAGCGCTGGATTAGGTAATAGCCCTAATAGTCCAATCTTACTACTATTAATTAATAGCCTTGATAAGACTAATTTATTTAGTATACTTCCCCCTGTTATACCCCTTCTAATAGGGTTGGTCGATGGAGCTCCTCTAAGCCCCCGGAAATTGTTTAACCCGATTCTAGTTTTATTGTTTTAATTTAATACTATTTTATCTATTTTATTTAAATTCTGTATTTTATTTACTGATGCCTCGGCTCTTATTTGAAAGTTATACCGAATTAGAAGTAATATACCGCCCGGTTATAATTACCCTTATATAAATATACCCTCCAATTTACTAGCTAATAAGAATATTAATTAGTTTATACTTATATGGATGAAGTACTATAATTAGAATATTGGTTGAGAATTTAACGATATTTAAGATGAGTTTAATATTAATACTATTAAAATTAATTTAATTGATATTTGTATTGATGATTTTAAGGTTAAAGTAAATAAGGATATTGCCCGTTTCGATAAAAATTTTAATAATGTTGTATCCGATATTAAAAATAATTTTAAATATTTTTAGGGAATTTATAATATAATTAAGAATATAAGTAGTAGTTTAGATTAAGTTAATTAAAAGGTTAATCTAGTTAATACTAATATTAATTAATTAAATTTGTCCCTCCGTAGAAAATAGGTAGAGATTGATCGCCGATTTAATAGTGTAGCTAAGTCCTTAGATATTAGTAAAGCCTAAATTAAAAAGATAGTTACTATAATTAAGATTATTGAATAATAGTTTTAATTTATTATTAACCTCTGTAAAGCCGGTACTTATTCCCTTATTATTAATTAGGCTCTAGATAACGCTAAGGTAGTAGTTATTAGCAAATTGGCGGAAATAATAATTTGTATGAGCCTTAAAATTCCTACTATCGAGCTTTACTCTATTAAGAAGCTTGTATCCAACTACGGATACCCTCTAATTAAGCCTAGTATTAAGTTTAGTAAGTACTACGCTATGGTGGCCGATGATACTGGTAGCCCTAACCCTAATTGATTCTATTGCGTTAAATTAGTTAATTTTTCCCTAAGTATTAATAAGGTAAAGGTAATTCGTTAGTTGTATACCCTGCCTATTTACTTAGGCTTGTCTTCCGATATTAATTAAGCAATTAGCCCCAATTTACGCCTATTCTTAAAATGCAATGGCCCTACGTCGAATTATTAGTTAGTAGAATTTTAAAAACGTTTCGAAGCTACTACCTAATTTTAGAAGTAATTGGTAGCCGAGGTATATATAGTAATAAATAAGGTAGAGGGTAAGTAAACCTCCTGTTTTAAATCCTTCAGCTAAAGTAGTAGAATTAGAGGCCTTCCGTTGAGTAGTTTAAATTTTAAGGAAATAGATTCTAATAATTCTAAATACGAATACTGTTGTAAAAAATATTATAAATTAAAAAAGGCTTGCTATAATAAATATTATAAATTTAGTTATTATAACCGTAGCGATTTTAATTCTAATAATTTTAATTCTAAGGATGGAGACGCTCCTTCCCTACGGCCCCCTTCCAGTAGTAGTCCCCTTAGAGGAAGCGGTAATCCCCCTAGAGGAGGCGGTAATCCTTTTAGAAACGAATCTGCTAATAATTGTTATTATACTAATACTGTTGATATTGGTTATTTTTCCTACTCGTAAAAATCTGATTTTAGATTTAAGTGCGAAGATATTAGTTAATTTATCCCCTTCTACGTTAACTCCGACGATATTAGTATTATTACTAATAGTAAAATATTAATCTATACGGACATTTTCCTCTTCTACGAATATTTCTTATTATTTTTCGAAGACGAAGATACTACCGCTGAGGTTGAAAAATAGATTATATAATACTTTTCTACCCTATTTAGCAGTGCCGCTATATTATAGTAGAATAATGAAATTGATTTACTAAAATATTGTTTTTTATGTAATAATAGCTTCGAATTTATTCTTAAAATATTAATTAATTATTTCCTATCCAATTCGGCTATTGTAATTAGAAAATTCACTAAGGATTGTTTTAAACTTAAAAATATTGCCTGTAATAAAAATACCCTATTCTAATTTATTTAATATAAATTTTATTATATTTATATAATAGGAATTTTCTATTGTACTAGAGAGAATTGGTATAGTATTATAATTTAGATTTAGATTAGTATAGACTTTAAAATTAAATAATATTTTAATTTATTTATTAAGAAGGGCACCCTCGCTAAATACCTTATAGAAATAGAGGGTATTAAAGTAATTCTATTAGTAGCCGTCCGTAAACGATACTTTTATATCCGTTAAAAAATTATTAGTATTACTATTGAAATTAAAGTAGTTATCCCTACTAATTAATATAATTGAAGTTGTAATAGTTGCAACGGTTAGAATAATAGACGGGAAGATTGTAATCGGCGGGATAACGACCGCTGCGATAATTGTAGTTATTGCGACGATTGTAATTAATACGACGATTATAATTAATACGATAATCAAAACCGCCGCGATAATTATTACCAATATAATAATTATAACCGTCGTAATGATTATAGGAATAAGGCTTATTATATCGATAAATTATATAGTAAGGAAGTTAGGGATTTGGAGGATAATTAGGTAGCCTATATTAATAATATCTCTATTTTATTAGGAAAATTAAATTCGAATAATAGTATTAGTATATTCTACGTAACGAATATAGATTTTAGTAGTAAATTGAAGTATTCCCGCTATTACGAAGAATTCCTATTAATAAAGGTAAAATACCGTTACGTGAAGTTATGCCTAGTATATAAATAATTCCGCGCCCCCTTATTAATAGCCCCTTTATTTCGAATATATATTTATTATATAGAAGTCTTTCTTTCTTAAAATGCTTTATTTAAATATATTGATTTGTGTGAAAATGTTAAAGTAGGTTATAAGCGTCCTATTTCCTAAAAGGTATTTTCTTCTGCTACTGGACTATTTATATATGAAGTATTAGTTTACGAGGATAGGGAGATCCTGAAAGGCCCGCTGTTTAACTATATTTATTTCCGTATTATAATTAGAGCTTTGCCCGAAGTTAGCGAGATTGAAGTATATGTAAACCCGGGAGCCGTTAAAATAATTATCGGCCGGAATTTTTTATCGACCCTTAAGCATTCGATTTTAATAAAGTACGTTATTAAAATTCGGGGAGTTAATAGTAAATCCCTGAAGTTTACCGAATAGGCGTCCTTTATATTCTACTTCGAAGGAATAATTAATAGTAAAATTAGCCTAATTAAAATTCGAATAGTTAGTTAGGTAATAAATAAATTACAACTAAACTTGCTGTTGGTAAATTCTTTCTTTTATTTCTAATAAGCGGATATTGATTATAATACTAAATATATTACCTTCCCTAATATAGGCCTATTAATAGTCCTTTTTAATGTTTAATGCTATTTTGTAAAATATATAAGGAAAGTTACTATCCTAAAGAAGACTATTTTATAATTTGGGGAGGAGGCTATAGTAATTGTATATTATAAACCCCTGCTTAAAGGTTAAAGTTTTATATTTAATTTAGGTAATAATAGTACGGTAAATACGGTAGTCGATTATAAATCCCTAAGGATAGTCTTATTTAAAAATTCTACGTAAAAGGTTCGTATAATCCTGAAAAAGTAATATATTAATTATATTAAGGAATACGAAGATAGCAGATATTTTATTAGCGATTAGAATGAAATCGAGACCGCCGCCTTCTCTATTTAGGTATTTAATGCTTTAAATAAAGACCCTATAGTTATTATCGACGAAGCTATTAAATATATTATAGTTAACTATATTCCTCCGGTAAATTTCGAAATAGGTTTTACTTCCGTTATCGAAATAACCGTGCGTAGTTAATATTCTACCCCTAAGTTAAAGAAAGTTCGGCTATTAAGCCTTCCGACTATATTAGAGAAATATTTAACCTTAGGTATCCGAATAGACGGGCTAGAATTAGTAATGGAAGAGGGTATTTATATTTATACGGCCAATAGGGAATATACTTAGGTTTTAGAAGACCTAATAAAATCTTTTCTATTACTATAGAAGGAAGGAGGATTAATAAATATACTTGAGGAAGAGTATATACGTATACTATTAGTAGAAGGTTGGTAGAATTAAAGGGTAGTTATAAAAATATATTTATTAAGTAAGAAGGAATAGGCTATTATTAACGAAGTCTTTAATATATTGTATAAGCAAGGGAAAATATAATAGATTATTTGGGCAATCCTATTTATATACCTAATATTCGTAGTTTAGAGAGAGATAAGGGATAGGAAGTAAAAAGGGCGATTGGTTATTAATATAAGGGTTATTAATAGCTTTACTATACTTAACAATTACCCCCTCCCTTTGTAAAATAAAATTATTATATTTATATAAGGTAAGTATTTTGTTACTGTTATTAATATAATAGTATTCTTCTACTAATTTAGGGTATAACTATCCTACTAAGATTAATTAACTTTTATTACTTATAGAGGTTTAGAAGTATTAATAGTTACTTAAATAGGATTCCAAAATACGTCCGTGTATGTGTAGAAATTTATAGATTAGCTCCTTCGTAGCTATAAGGACTATTGCCGTACGTATATTAATAATATTATTATTATTTTTAATACGTAGGAGGATTACGTCGTTTATCTAACGGTTATTTTTAGTTTATTTACCTTCCGTAATATTTTACTATCTCCTAAGAAGTTGTTCTTAGGTTACCCTAACGTTGAATTATTAAGTTTTTAAATCGATGGTCTAGGATTTTAGAATACTTAATAGCGAATTGAAGTATTTAAAAAACTTGTCTTTTTAGAATAATTAAAAGTGCTCGAATAGTATTTAGGAATATTAAGATTTTTATAGTACTTAATACTTTACTACGTTTAATTTTCTAAGTTATTATAGTATAGGAAAGTTTAATTCCTAGTAGTAGGGCGTATAGAAGGCGTGGTTGTTAATAGTAAGCCTATTAAGCGGGTTATATATTATATATGTATAAGGTTTAAACCTATAAAAGATAAAGTAACTTTGTTCGAGGCAATTTAAATTGAAATTTGTAGTAGGGCTATATTTTACTATTTGGACCCCGATAAGTAAGCCTTTTTTTAAATTAACAGTTTTATTAAGAAGGATTTTAGTGTAATATTTTTTTATTTAAAAAATAATTATATTTAGGAATCCGGTGCGTATATTCCTGTAAATTAAGTTTTATTAATTTTCTTTCTAAGTAAGTACTTAATTAACGTTAAGATAAGGTACGGTCTATCCGAGTTTGAAGTTGTTTGTTTAATTTAGGCTGTAAAGAGACTCTGTATGCGTATCTATTCCTATAATAAAATAGTTATTGTTTTTATGGATTATTTAATAATGAAGGGTATTGTGGAATAGAAGTCTTTATATACGAATTTTATAAATAGAAATAACCGGCGTTTAATTAATACGTTTATTTATTTATCCTAATATAATATTAAAGTGTATTACTTATTAGGCAAGCTGAATTTCGTACCCGATACATTAAGCCAGCTCCGAATTATCGATAATATTTAATTATAATTTAAAGGTATTCTAGTATTCGATAATGTTTGGTTGGTAATTAATTAGGTATATTTCGCTATTATTAAAGCCGTCCTAGATAAAGAATTAAAAAATTAATTTGTAATAGCCTATTATAAGGATAAGAAGTACGCTACGGTTATTACCGATCTGTAGGATTTCTGATTTAATAACGAGGACGTTATATTTTTTTGTTGCCCTAGTTACCCGTTTTTTATAATTAACGGTATAATTTATATAAGTTAATTAGACGGTGTAAAAATATTATACATCCTCTATAGTTACATATAGAAAGTTCTAGAATTTATATATAATGAAAAATACTACTTTAACCGAAATAAAATATTCTACAATTTAAAAAGCTTTTTTATTATTAATAAAATATATTTTATTAAATAATACGTCCGAAATTGCCTATTTTATAATTTAAATTAAACTGATTAGTCCCCTCCTATAGGATAATTTTAGCCTATTTGGTTAAAGTTCGATAATACTTTCCCTATACGAATAATAGCTATTGATTTTATTATTAGATTATTAATAGTATTAGTTAAAGATTCGCCCTAGAAGTTACTTAGTTATAATGTTTTCGATGCCCCAATACCCGCTACCGATATAATATTTAAACGATCTCTACTAATTTTAGGATATTTAATATATATTGTAGAAGAATAGGGGATAGTATTTGTACGATCCTTTATTTTATTAGATTGGGGATTCCTATTAGGAATTATTTTTAATTAAGATAAGAAGTTTACTTCCAATTTCTAGTAAGGGATGTGGTAAGTATTGGGGATTCGGTTGTTAATAATAATAATTTACTACCTTTAGGGAGACGGTACTTCGGAATGGAAAAATTAAAATATTGAGATTACTATCCGTTTCTATATATTTAATTATTCCGATAATAATTGGCTAGTATTACTATTATTTTTATAATAGAATTTTAATAGCGTTTATATTAATGCTATTAAGGTATCCCCGTACGAATACCTTTTTAGTTATTGTTTGTAAAGCCCTATAGAATCCTTTAACGACCCTTCTTCGTAAAAATATAACCCTATACTTCGAAATTATATTTGTAATGAAGTTAGGTTCGCTATAGATTTCGCGGTCGTTAAAGTTAAATGGTTCTATAATTCCGGCTATAAACCGGTGGATATTAAGGTTAGGGATAAAGTCTTCCTAAAATTATACTACGGGTACTATTTATGAAATTACCTATTTCGAAAGTTTTTTTAATAATGTATCGGCCTATTTAAGGTTATTGAGAAGGTTGGAGAGCTGGCATTTAAATTGGAGCTCCCTTATACTATGAAGGGGATTTACCCGGTTATTTTAATTGCTTATTTTAAGCGAGCTCCCTACGAGGAAGACCCTTTCCAATACGTTCCCCCGCCTCCGGGACCTATTAAGGATTCCTAGGAAGATTTGGAATTAGAATTAGGATTATAGTACAAAGTAGAGAGAATAGTAGATTATAAAGAGGTGAGAGGAGGAAAGATAAAGTATTAGATTAAATAGAAAGGGTACGGTAACGAAGATAATAAATAGTAAATTGAGGAATAGTTTAAGAATATTCCTTATTTAATTATTAAGTATTAGGATAGATATAGAGGTTGTATAAAGAAGAATACTAGTAAGAAGGATTCTAGTAAGAAGGCTATTCGGAGGAGTATTAGAAGGAAGGATTGAGGTACTATTAAGGATAGTAGTCTTTTTATGTGTGAGCCGGGACTTGTTACCGGATATGTACGATTAGTTGATAGAGTAGGGTGCTGGGTATGCCCAGTACTACGGCTAGGGCACAACCAGTGCTATAGTCGAAGTGTAGGCTAGTCGGCTGTTATTGGCAGACGGTTGCCCGGAAGTGGGGTGCCCGCCTTGTAAGCTAGGGTGGGCCTTGTTCGGACTAGGGATTTTGTATAAAAGGACCCCTGTCTGGGCCGGCTAACGGCCGCCCACTTTCTTTCTACATCTCGCTTTTTTACTTTAATATTATTGATTATATTAAGGATATTTGGAGTTTCTGAGCAAACTCAGTGAACCGTAACAGGAATGTTTAAAACTATAGAATACTTTAGTAAATTAGTATATTACGTTTTTTTTACTATAATTAAGTATAGGCTTCTTAAACGTTATTAACTATTTAATATAATATTAAGTATCGTTAGGGATAGAAGTATTTAAGAAAATAATATTAAAATCGAATTAGTAGTATTTATAATTGTTTATAGCTATTATTACTAAGAATAGTCTAATATTAACCGAGTAGGCTACCGTTATATAGATCTCTTACACTACCCAATTACCTTATTCGAAATTTCTATAAACTACCTATCTAATTTTAACTTTCCAATCTTTAATATCGATATTGTACTTCTCATTATATACCTACTTTCTAAGTAGAACCTCTATATCTAAAAATCTGGGGACTAAAGTATAAACTCCCCTATCCTCAAGTACTTTAATTTACTTCTTCATTACTAGTAACTAATATAATTTAACATTACCCTACTTACGTACAATTCAATAATTCTTAAGGATAAAATATTGAATTTTACTAGCAGTAATAATTACTATATCGTAATCGACTTTAATAGTAGTAAGGTAATAAATAGGTATACGTCTAATTAGACGTCCTTCTACCGTACTATAAAAATTATTAGGTAAATCTACCGAATCTTGAATAATATTACTATTACTATCTTTTACCTATTAAATATTATATTTAAAATCTATTAATTTAGCCGTAGTACAACGAAATCTACCTTTACTTACCTCTATATTTAATAATTATATACTAAATTTAGAGGGCTAGCTTCCCTATCCTAATTGTACCTATATAGATTATTAATTTATAGGGTTCGGCGGAATTGTTATAGGATCCGAATTCGGAATTAGAAGGCTTAAATTCGAAGTTAGAGGCCCTGAATTCGGGTTCGGAGGGTCCAAATTCGGGATAGCCTATTACAAATTCGAAGCTTATTACTTTTAATTCTTCAATTAAAATTGTAGCTTACTAACTCGCAATGCTAGTAATAGAGTATATTATCGTATACGAATAGGGTTTAATATACCTATCAGCGGTAGTCGAACTATTAAAGCTAATTATTAAAAATTATTAGGTAGTAGGGTACTTAGAGTAATATAAATAGTTAATTTATTAAAATTACATCCTTCGTATTAATCGTAAAGTATAGGATCTTTTTTATTAAGATTTTCAAAATTAAAAAGATCGTTATTATACTTAATAGTCTCTCTAACCGGCGAATTTATTAATTAATATTATAACGGATTTAGCGACGATCGTACTAGTAAGGTTTTTAAAACCGGAATTAGCAATAGGGTCGGTATTAATAATAGTAATACTAACGGCGCCGTATTAATTAGAATATTCGGGGGAGCTATCGTAGTTACTAGAGTAATTGTATTAATTAAAGTAATTAAATTAATTAGAGCAATCGAATTAATTAGAGTAGTTATAGTAACCGACGTAGTCGTAGTAACTAGAATAATTAAAGGTATTAGTATAACTTCTAACGATAAGGATAATATAATCGTTATCTCCCATATCTTTTTAACTTCTTCTTATTAGGGTGATTTAATTACTTTCTATAAATATAATTATAGAATTATACTATCTACTTTAACCCAGATTTAATAACCGCTATCTACTACCTTATTAATTTTATCGACTATCTAGTCTAAAAAGATAATATAATGTTCAACAATATTACTATTACTACCACATACTGGATCTTTATAATTAACCGGGTCTTCTTTAAGGAAGGTTACTATATTGGCTTTAACGATCTCGCTAGTATAGGGATTCTAAATAAATATAATACGACTATAAATATTGTCAAAACCGATAAAATAACCCTTCTAAACTCTAATACGAAATTTATCGCCTTATAGTCGCTTTTCTAGCTTAATAAAGTAGTAAACCGTACAAAAGTAAAACCTTAAGTACTTAAAATATAGCTTCTTAATTTCATTTAGGAAGTTGGCTACATTAGTGAATAATTCTTATAGGCTTTTACCATTATAAATTTTTGAAAGTAGAAGGTTAAGAACTTTAACGATATAGTTAGTTACAAAAGGCTATAAATACTCTAAGATATTAAAATCTATTATTAAAACTCTAATATATTATATAATAATAGCACTAACTCTTTCGATCTTTCCTTACATCTATAGGGTATAGGGTATTAATTTCAATAACTCTACGCCTTCTATACGTACCTACTCAACGATTTTGCTATATTAAAATTCCTTAATACTAAAGTTAAACTTTAGACTGCTATTAAGATCAAATGCCTTAATTTTAAGCCCACCGTTTTAAAGTTCAGCCTATTTTTTAAACTCTTTAATCTACACGAAAGCATCGCCTTTATTAACTATAAACCTTACCTAGTAGAATCTAGTAACCTAATTGATAAAGTAGATTATATACTTATATCCTTTATAGCCAAGTAAAATATAGGAAATAACATCGACGTAAATGTAAATTAATAATTAAATCGTTACTTTACTAGCAATTTTAGGGATTATATTGTATACCTTTACTTTAATACAAACTTCGCAAAAGTAATCTTAAGTATTATTTAATTTAATACCGGCCGCTTCGCAAATTTTAAAAACCTAGTCTTTACTTACATATATAAGGCGGCGGTATATTATTAAATAATTGATTAAAACTATTATAGTATAGTGAACGTTTTATAGAAAGTCTAATTAAGTAAATACTAGAAGGACTAGAAGACCGTTAATCCATTTACACTATATTATAACCTTATTATATATAAATATCTAATTAGACTTTATATCCTAGACTATACTATTATTAAGAAGACCTCTCGTGATTAATAGATTTATTAGGGTAGAAGGACTATAAATACAATTTTTAATTCTAATTTTAATAATTATATTATTTAAAGTAGTTATAGTTAATTTGATAGTACTAATATAGTAGGAATAAATCGAGGTTTTATTACCGATTATATAAACCGCTAAATAGGGAAATAGTTATATATCTATAAACTATTTAAAATAGTTAAAGATATTACTTATATAATTAGAATTGTAAATAACTAGATTATAAATATTATCCGGTTATAAATATTACTTTAGAGCCTATTAGTCTTTATAGGATTACTATAGGTATATTGAAATTAAAGTTAATAATCGATTAATTAATTATTACTTTAAGTACTATTAATATACTTAATAGTATCGGCTAGAGGCTCTAACAAAAATCCATATTATTACCGCCTAAATTAATTAAGCCTATAAATATTCTACCTCTATACAATAAAATAGAATTAATAATAGTAGCGGGAATGGTGAAATTAGTTGAAGCGTTGTTGGCGAAAGTATTAGTGCCAGTATTAGCTACCTTCTTAGTTATTATATCCTTCTTAAGCTTCTAAATATTAGGCGCCTACTCAGGGAAGTAAACCTAGTAAATATCAACCTTCTTACTGACGTGGTGACTATAAGAGATGTGCTTCTAAGTAGGGTAGATCTTCTTATTATAATTAGTATAATTAATTCTCTTACTATTATCTTTCTTCTTATCTATCGAACTACTATTACTATTATTATTATTCTTATTAGTATTATTATTATTATTAGCGGACCTCTAGATATTAACGTTAATACTAGTACGGGACTTTATATTACTAATATTACCGAGTTTGGCTAAGAAAGAACCGATATCCAACTTATTAGCTTCTAAAGCGGCTACCCAATATCTAGCATCAATAGGATAGGTAATCTTTATAGTATTATAAAGAAAGGTAACCTCAAAATCCTCATTAATCTTGAATTTAGTATTTTTAATATACTTACAGAATAAAGTATAATAAGTAAGGAAAGAAGCTATAGTATTAAAATTAGTATATTTAATAACTAAATATTTAGCGAAAATTTCGCTACGAACTTTATTAGTAATACAGGCAATATAAGATTAAATAAAATCATACGTAACCTTAGGGTTTTTATTAGTTTTATCCTATTTATTAATAATTAAGATTGTAACAACGGCGGGGGTCTTAAGAATAGAGAACAGAATCTTGTTAGCGTTAGTACGTTTAGTCCACTAAGTATTGTACTTCTTGGGATCCGTTATTTTATCGGGTTCCGGGACTATTTCGAAAATATACTTAGCGAATTGAAAGCAATCAAGCTCGGCTATAAGTCCCTAATACTAGTCGGCAATATTTTAATTACCAAGAAGGGGAACCAGCGACGAACTAGTAATCGTAGTTAGTATAGGAAGGTTTGATATATTAAGAAGAAGGAAGTTAGTAGTCGCTAAATTAATCGTTAATTAATTTAAATAAATCGCTTAATTCAATAATGAATAAACCGATAATTAGTTCGATAGAGGGGTCGCTATACAATAAGTATTAGCGAGAATCTTCATTTAGCGAGGCTAGCTTGTAGGCGAGCGGGCGAATCGTTAAATCAACGAAGGTCGCATTACTTCTTTTAACCCGGTATTGTAGCGCCTTATTGAAATTAAGGCTAGCGATGCGCTTAATAATGCGTTCGTCAAATACAATCATAGGGAAGGTTAGAGAGGGCTTATAACTTATAAGATTACTAACAAGATCAAGCAGTTGAATACGATTGATTGAGTGTGTGCTATGGAGAGAGAGAGAGACTGGCAGAGTCTGGAAGGCTAGATATGGTGCGGTCTGGGCAGGGCACAGAGTGGGGTCTGGGCCCAGTGAATGCTGTGCTCAGTGAATGCCAGAGACCCACCAACACTTCCCCTATCGCCTCCTCTCGTTTCGTTTAATACCTAAATATTAGTACCTCTAATTACCGGGCGTTACTAGTACCTATATTAATAGTTCGTTTTATATAATTATAGATTATTTTTAACTATTTCCTACATTCTTAGTAATAATATAATATAATATACTATATCGCACCAATTAACTACTAACCATACTAACACTTAATAGCTTTACGTAGAAGATAGTAATATTATCGCATCGTAATTAAATAGTATGTTGTACTATATCGCACCAATTAACCGCTAACTATATTAATAACTAATAGTATTACGTAGAAGATATTGCATTGTATTATATTATATTAGTACGCCGGGTAAGCGGGTACTGGGAATGCGGGTCGAAGGTCGGGGCGCGGCGGGCAGCGTAGTAGACCGTGCGGGTGGGCGGTAGGGTAGGCGGTAGGGTAGGCGGCAGGCAGCTATATATAGTGTAGGTAGTAAATGTACGTACTTATTTAATTTATACTACCTACGGTATAATATACTATAAAATAGTTCTCAGACACCGGTGCGATGCTGGATCCTCAGCTCAAGTAATGCCCGGTGTATATTGAAGCGTGCTTTGGATCCACCTGCCAAGAAATGCCAAGCCGGGAAGTACGGGAAAGTTCTTGGCACCCAATCCTAACTCGAGGGTACAATACTAGCCAAAGCATCACCAGATCTAACTCTTTTGAAGGGATTTCTATTATTTTGACTATAAACTCAGTTGTAAGTATAGTAAATACGCTCAAAATGCTCCAATTAGTCTATATAGTCTACTTCTAACTACCCTACTATTACCAGCCCCCCCGGAGTGCTATAGGGACGCCCGTAGTATAGTAGTATAGAGAACGCTCTTACTACTATTAGTATAAGTATATAGAGAGCTCTCGCGTTTAATTCCCTACTAGTGACTAGTTTTTCGTTTAAACGTTTAATTATTATATTACTAACCTCTCTCAGATCCTTCTTATCTTCAAATCTTGGTATTGATTACGTATATGGCCGATCTAGGGAATAGAAGACGTAAGACTGCCGTAAGATATACTATTTTTCGGTGCTATTAATGGTTATTCTAAAAAAGGGTATATTATAAGGTATTCGATTAGGGTGCGCGGAATAAATCGAATTGAACTCCTTTCTTCTTTTTTCCTTTTTTTTTATAAGCCGGTAGTGAGATTCAGCTACTTAAATCCCGAATTAGAATAATCTGAGTTGTAATTAATAATAAAAGTAATATATTATTTTGAATGGATGGGGAAAGAAAAGCTGGGAGTAGCCGTAGTCTTCTTCTTATATAGAAGGTCATCTTTGGCTGGCAATGCCGTTTTAGTATTAGCCCAGCCTCTAATAGTAGTACGTTAGCGCTTAATAGCGAGTAAGTTACAGCACTCTTCTTCTTCTTTTAATATATTATTAAAGCGCTCCTTAAACTCGAAATTATCGTCTTCGAAAATGATTAATATAGTGGCGCTAGGGGTTGATAATTAATATATTAATAATTAATAGTTAATGAAAGTAATAAAGATTTGAGTGTAAAAAAAAGAGGAAGAGGGAGATAAAGATATATTTATACGTTAGAAATAATAGATATGAAATGAGATAGAAGGAACAATTATAAACACAGTTAACGGAAGGTACGTTTAAAAGTATTATTTACATTACATCTATTTAAGGTCGAACTGGAAGTGGTAATACCAGGTGCCCGGAATTTTAGTATTTAGATACCCGGGACTAGAAGTTTCTCTAGTAATCTCCTTACTTCATTAGCTTCTTTCATAACAAATATATAGTTAAATATTATACGTAGAATATTCAAATTAAAAGGAGTATTAAACATAAGGCCTTGTAAAGTCTTAACTCTACTATATACTATATATGTAAATCCAGTTTGAAAGTCCCTCTTTGAAATATCTAATATAGCTATATTAAGGGTAGAACCTTATACCTTATGTACCGTAATAGTATATATAATGACTAAAGGAAACTACGTTCTCGTATATTAGGTATTTCGGTAAGACCTGAACTCTTATTTAATTTAGAAAATAGGGACGATATTGCGGAAACGATCTTGGTCTTTTTAATTAGGGAAGTAAGAAGGCCTAATATACTAGTCAAATTTAATAAATATAATAAATAGATTGTTGTAAGGGTGTTATTTGTTGATGATATTTTGGTTAGGAAGGTTGGAATCCTATATAATATCGAAAATAATACTTAAAATACTATTAATTAAGTTAGCTTTAGTTTAAAGGTTCTTAATAAGTATAACCCTACTATTTATTATTAATAGGAGTTCGAACTATAGATTATTGACATTAGTAGGATCTATGTCTTTAATACTAAGGCCGGCGTATTTAATAAGGAGGATAAGATATAGTTGATTTAATACTTCTATGTGCTAAATATTGTAAATTGCAATGTTCTTATATTTAGGATAGATATGTAAAGTATTAATAAATTTAGCTTGCTTATTTAGTAGTAGCTTTAATTGCGTTTGAGAATAAAGTAATTCCTAGTATTATTAAATAGGCTAGTTATTTTATAGTCTTTCGAACGCTGCCCTAAATCTAATTTAATTATTACCCTATTGCTATATAATTTACTATAATTCAATAGTTTTATTAAAAGTATAGTAATATATACGACTAATAGCTTTAATAGTAGGCAAAATTTGTTGATTATAAAATAATAGTTTCTGTCTAACTGGGGGTAATTAATAAAAGTTACTAAATAGAAGAATATTTTTACTATTGAATAATTGGTTCTAAGATTTAGGGAAGGCTTAACGCAATTTTTAATTAACGAAATTGAGAATTCGAAGTCCTAGTATAGACTTTTTATTAATAATAAAATAATGATATAGTTGTAGTTAGTGTTGAAGTTAGGTTAGATTAATACTTTCTAGTACTATAATAGTTACTTTAGGATTGTTTTAATTAATATTCTTAGGAATAATAGGGAGTTTAAATAAAGAATATAAGGTTTAGCTATTAATATTATTAGTTATTACCCCCGTTGGAGTATATTTAATAATTGGTAAGGTTTTATTATAAGTTGTAATTATTTGTTCGAATTTAAATAATAACGCTTTAATAAGAAAAAACTTTCTAATACCTCCGCGGCTATTAACCTATAGAAATAAAGGTGGGATTTGTAGACGCTGTTGAATATTATCGTTACAGTTAAGAATAGATTGATAATAACGAATAAATTAATCAAAAATAACCTTTTATTCTATATTGAGATTCTAGATAGTTTGCGATATAAGAGCGGGAATATCGGCTACTAATTATAGGTTATTAATTTTTATATTCTTCTAATAATCCTATTACAATTCTAGTAAATCTTAATAACCTAAATGGTTATATTAATTGTATAAAATGTTTTAATTACGGTAATTGAGTATGCCAAAGTTACTATTATTTTTAATTCGTTAATGATAAGGAAGATTTTTAGTTAAGATTTACTATAGCTCTCTCTACCTTTCCTATTCGGTAGGGGGTTTAAAATCGTTATCGGGTTCGCCGTTGGGTATACTACTATAGTAATCGTAAGGGTAATCCAAATCCCTAATATAGACCTTTATGTAGATTAAATATGTATTAGAGTAAGTTTTTAACTCTTCCCGAATTCTATTCCGGTTTATAATACTAAACAATTTAATATAGGTATAATAGGGATAATATAATATTAGTTTAATTCTATATTAATCTTTGTTTTGGTTATCGTTTTCGAATTTATAAATTAGGTAATAGTTTAATACCCTCTTCTTAGCCCGGCCTCTAAGACGTTGATTATTGGCGATGTTGAATTGAGTGAGCTATTTAAAGTAGTTAATATTTCTAAGGTTATTGGGGCGAGATAAATATTTGGTATATTAGGTGTGAATTTAAATTTGCTAGTTTTATTTAATAAGTATTCCCGGTCTAAGGAGTTTATTTAGATTACGGTAGTCTATATTAATAATAATTCGGGTATTCTATTCTAAAGGTAAGTTAAATAGTAAGTGATTAATTTTTTGGGTAGATTAGTCTCGCTTAGTAATAAATTAATTTATTATCTTTATAGTAAAAGAGACGATGTAGTTGTTAGAAGTAATATAGAGTATAATTTATTAAGCAATCTCTTTGAAAGGTCTGGACTACTTTTCTACTTTTAAATAGTATTTAGTA